TCAAAATGACATAGTATTGGATGTAATTTAGAAATAAATGATAGATACATATATATGATTTGCAGAACATAATTTAACTTTTTTCCCCCTTATTTAATTAATAACGTTATTTTCAAAGAGATGAGTGATTTTTAAAAATTAAAGAAAAGATGTGTTATTCTTAAATTTGAACGTCATGTGTTGGTATTTTTCAAGATAAGTAACAAAAAACACATTTACGCTAATTAGTTTATAATTTATAATAACCTAAACATATAATTATATATAGGTAATATAAGTCATACCTCACACACTTTGATTTATATTTATCTTATTTATATTTTGAGAACACCCATATAATAATGAAAATATTATATAGTGCATTGTTGTGTGTATTGATGCGATTAGGATTGGTTGCATTTGAAAAATAATTGGCTTAAATTTTATTTAATAATTTCAGACGTGGGAAACTCCGTCAGAAATTTCATACGGATTTTAATCCGTGGGAAACTTCGTCAAAAATTTTAGACGGATTTAAATCCGTCGGAAATTTCCGACGGATTTAAATCCGTCGAAAATTCCGTCGGAAATTGCTTCATGTAAAAATCCGTGGGAAATTCTGTCAGAAATTTCCCACGGATCTAAATCCGTGGGAAACTTCCGACGGATTTTGGTCCGTGGGAAATAATCCGTGGAAAATTTGACTTTTTCTTGTAGTGCTTAGTGAATTTTTTATACATTAAAAGAAATTATTTTGTAATTAATTTAAAATATATATTACAAGACCCAACTGCAACCATTGGTGCAAGCTTACATTACAAAGTTAAACAGCACCAACAATATGGGGAAGACATTGTTGTGGGGTATGTGTTAGTTTTGAAACAGGTAATATTTGTTGTATAATATTAAATTATATGTTATTTATGTGTTAAGTTTAAATTTTTTTTTCTTCAGGTTGTCGTGTTTGCCCCGAACCGTATCCGTGGTCCTTACTTCTTGAACATAACCAAAAATAATGTACAATGGGTGGGTAGTGTTAGTCAAATTTAATTTATTGTGTAACTAATATTGTTTATGAAGCAATTATTATTGTTTAGGAGGTACATAGGAGGTTGATCAAAGGGGATAGTAAACACATAAGTCAACTTCATTATCGTTGTCCAGTTAAATACGAGGAAGGAGGAAAACAATATAGTTCATTATAGGTTTATAAGCTTATAACTTGTGTACGGGTGTACATCAACATACATGGTTGTTACATGAATTATATTCTTTCAATAGAAAATGATTCAATTTTTATCCTATATTTCTTTTTAAAATTTAGATTTTAATAATATTGAATAAACTATATTTTAAAAATAATTTTGCTAATTTTTAAAAATTAAATTTATTAACTTAATTAATATTAATTTAAATATATTTTTAAATAGGCAAATAAGTCAGGTCAAACTTTAAAAAAATTAAGTTAGACGTATAAAAAAATTTATAATAAATAATAAAGCAGACTTTAATTTTAATATTATATAATAGACTCAACCTATATATTCAAAGTCTGGCATGATCTGACATATTCCTATCCCTAATTGTATTTATGTTCTTCATGTCATTTTCGTTGAGAACCATAAGTATATACATAAATTCATGGAAGCAATGTGCATGTATCCTTAAAATCCGAAAACTAAGTCAAAGTGATAAAACCATTAAACCACTTTCTAATGTGTATCAACATAAAAAAAAAAAAAAAAAAAAAAATTTAAAAAAAAAAAATATAATTATCAAAATTAAAAATATTAAATAAATAATTAGATAAAAAATTGTAACAGAAAAAGTAGTTAAATAAAAATATTTAATTAAATTTTAAATTATAATAAAATTCTACAACGTACTCATACTTAAATAGGGTGTATCATTCTAAAGTATGTACATTGGTAGCAATTTATAGCTCACTATATTGGCAAAAATATTAGCAAATTTTTAAGTCTCTACATCGGTTGTAAGCCAAGAACAATGATAGGAACCATGAATTAATGCAATTATTTTTTAATCTAAAATTGAATTTGCTTTTGTTTGCAATCATGTTACATGTAACCGATATTGGTTGGAATTGTGGATGTGAATGTTAAATTGAATATTGATTAGTATTGGCAAAAAAAATTCACAGGCTTTGTGTTGTCCATTTTGTTTATACCCCAAATTTGACAAGACTAACGTTCATAATTCAAATGTTAATATAGGAATTGTGTTTGAAAAGTTGGAATTCGACCAAAAGTTAATTGATTATTGATGAAAGTGAAAGTAATTAACTCCTTTTTCATTCTTCGTGAACTATTTGTGCTTCTCGGATTCCTCGTTGACACTAAATCAAAGTTTTCATACAATTTTGATTAGATGACAATCCCAAAACCAAAAAGCATCAATTCAATTACAATTCCACTAATTTTCTTAACAAAGTTTATATATATCAATAAGAAATCTTATATGACTAATGCCAATGCTATATTTTTGTTCATATTTAAGTTAACAAACCTGTAACATATATAAACTTCAAAAATAATATCAATGCAGTTCACAGTCACAAACATTGTTTTTTATACTAAAGAAGTCAGAAAAGAACTGCAAAATGCATAAATCGATCAAGCTCGTAATAACGAAAACATGGATCACAATGTAATATGAAAGTGATGCATACGCGCAGGTAGCAGTAATCAAAGTCAATGAAGTAACTTTAGGGGTAACGAAAAGGAAGGGAAAACGAAAATGGGAGCACTATTCTCTTGACACTTTCAATTAAAAACACACTTTAGGAAGTTTCCTAGGACTCTATGTTGGACCCTTTTCTGCTTCGATTCACATGCGTTGAACTTGTTCAACATTCAATCAATGTCGTTATTTTTAGCTCTCTCGTCATTCCCACTTCTTTGCTCTCTTCTATTCACATTCTTCCCACATTCTCCTCTTTCTTCTCCATCATGCTTTCGTTAAGGTTATTTCGCCTTTGCTCTCTTCATGCCACGTCTAACCAAGCTCCCATTCTTCAACAATGCTATAAGGTCTTTTGTGAAATCCCCAATCTCACTTTTTCTTCTTGCATTATTAATTTTCTCATTTCTTCTGCATTTTTACTGTAATATATTATCTCCAATCTTAATTATAAACAAAAAAAATTGAATTTTTCTTTGATTCTAATCACATACCAATCGAAGTTAAATTTATTTTATGCCCTTTATTTATTATAAACTTAATTTCATATGCATTCATTTATAATTAATGTTAAATATAACAAGTATTTAAAGGAAATAATATCTTTTAAATAAAACTTATATTTATGGTATAGTTAATTAAAAGTAATCATATTAGTTATTTTTCTTTAATTCAATTATTTGTATTACTATTTCATTTCCCTCGTTATAACTAGAGGTTTTGTTTCAGGGGTATAAAGTAACTGGCCTTCGATCATCATTTACGGGTATGTTGAGCTTCAATTCATATTAGCTATTTTATTTCTTGGTTCTTCACAATTTGTTCTAGATTCGAATTACCATTAACATCATATAGAGAGAAGAGAATGACGTAAAACTGCTTTAAACTATTGCAAAATCCATAAACTTAAAATGAATTTAATTATGAACTTTATTAATTAAGTAACGCTACGTAGCACAATTGTTATTTACGTATAGCCATAGTAATAGTAAACTAATCATACCGTAAAATTTAAGGAAACTACCATGCATCTTCTAGGTAAAGAGAAAAAGAAAAGAAGTTTGTTTTGTAGCATTTGAGTCAAACAAATCGCACCATAGTTTACGCAGTGTTTGGTATAAGTTTATTTGTATGATATCATATGTACACTATTAATCGATAATAGTATCTTTTTCAAGTGCTCTTGCTGAGAAAAATCACAAGCAAAATTATAACACTTTCCCCGTGGAAAATGGAAATTCGAGACCACTTTCACGAGGGAACAATTTCTCAATAAATGTACACGTTTTATAGGAAAACCCAATTTTCATTTTGTCGTGTGATTTCGGAAACACGAACACGTTGTGTCTGTGTAGGTTCGTGGAAAATGGGTTCAGACCAAAGTCCTGTTTCGTGCCAAAACGTCGTCGTGATGAGGCACGGCGAGCGCTTGGACAACTTGGAGCCGTCGTGGGTGGGCAGGGCGGCGCGGCCGTGGGATCCGCCGCTGGCCGAGGTGGGCCGGAAACGGGCTTTTGAAACGGGCTGGAAGGTCCGAAAGGGTGTCGGGTCTCCGATCCGGCGGGTCTTCGTTTCGCCGTTCCTCCGCTGCGTCCAGACCGCCGTCGAGCTCGTGGCTTCGCTGTCCGCCCTTGGCCCTTACAAAGTCAAGGTTAGATTGTTAGCATGTTAGATTATATCGACTCTTGATTATGATTAATAAAAATGTTAAGAATGTTCGCACCAAGTCAAAAATCAACTCATTGAAAATAGATAAAACTCAAAAAGAATGTTTTTTTTTTTTTTTTCAATTTCTTTATTTTAATAATATTAAGAAGGTAAAATTTAGTGTATATTAGTGATGAGTCAGAAACGGGTTGGGACAAGTTCATTTTTATCTTTACTCCTCGAAAAATTGATCAATTTCTTTATTTAAATTTAAATCCAACCTAATTAAGAATCGAAATATGTAGAATAAAATCAGATTAACCCAATGTTTTAACTTAACATAATAATACTAACGCATGTCTAATTAAATTATGAAATAAAATAAATATAAAAGTTAAATTAAAATATATTTTATCATATATATTTTAAATAAATAATGTTCTTATATATATAATACAGTATTATACAAAATATTATATATTAAAAAAATTTATTATTAATATATAATTATTTTAAAAATTTATACATTTTTAAAATAATGTGACAAATTGAAACAATTCGAAGTACAACTCGAACTCTTCTTAAAAATTATATCAACTCAAACTTTAAGATTTAACCCCTCTAATTAATAAGAAACTCAACTATATCTATAAATGGATTAGGTTTTGGTCAACTTGGAATATGTTATCCAGGCATCTACTAGGAGTCAATTTAGTGAGAGTTTAATATGATTTTGGGTTTTTATTGTTAAAATCTAGACAATAAACCAAACTAAGTCTGCATACTCCTTTCATATATATTTCTTTTTCTACATCATATAAAATTTAATGGTTTAAATAATTTCATACTCTTTATAATATTAGATTACTTTTATTTTGATTCTTTTAAAAAGAATACTCTTTATAAGATCTTTTTATTTATTTTGGCTGATGTCTCTCTTAAGTGATCACTTAATTATCAAAAATTAAAAAACAACTTTGATATTTTTCTAAATAATAGAATAAAAAAATTAATATAAGAGAAAATTATATCAAAATTCTGTAATTTTATGGGAATTGCAAAAGTAATATCAAGGATTAAATGAAATTGTATAACGAACAAACCAGGGGGAAAAATAAGAAAAAGAAAATGGAAATGAAAATAACCTTGATAAAAGATGAGAAATTGAAAGAGTTACAACAGCAATATCTTCTACCCCCTAAATTGCACTACAAAATAGTTTCTAAAATCCAATAACACAATCAAACCAACCAACACTAAAATTTTATCCCTCACTTTCACAACTTCAGGTCTCTGTTGAGTACGGATTATGTGAAATGATGAACAATAGGGCTATACGTCCCAATGTTGCCCCAAAAGATGGAAAGATGGGTTTTGATATAGCAGAGTGTGAAGCCATGCTCCCACCTGAGACAGTGGATACAAATGTAGAAAGGGTGTATAAAGAGGTATAGTATAGAGGACTTCATATTAATATAATTTTACTTTTTTTTTAAGTATGCATAAAATGCATCTATGCAAACATTATTTAGGCTGATGGAAACTTTTTCTTCAGTTGCCCCAGTGGGGAGAGTCTGTTTTACAAGCAGGGGTGAGATATCAACAGTTAATTAAGGACCTTGCAGATAAATATCCTACTGAGAACTTGCTACTTGTTACACATGGTAAAAATTCAATTCATGTCCTTATAAGAGATTCTATAAAGTTTGATTCCTTTGTGTAGATGTCTGAAATGGTGGCACCCTCTGGCCGTAGTATATTATTTTGATTTAATATATTAGCAAATCCTAAATTCTTAAAATAAATATTAGTACTTGGATCTTTGTAATTAGGTCTTGAAGTTAGTAAAATCATCACAAATTATTATTTTTATATCAGCTTCAAGTTATCATAAATTAATTTCAGGAACCCAATTAGAAAAGTTATAATTTTTTATAGGTTAGGGAATAGAGACCTAATTAAAAAAATTCAGTTAAAAATCTCTTAAATGTTCAAGAACCTACTAATATATATTAACCCTATTATTTTCTACCCTTTTTGCTCCTTTATTACATAAATAGTAAGAAAAATTAAAATAATTAAATTTTGATGAACTTTCAGTGGCAAATATTTTACATGATCAATTAATCATAATTCATTCTAGATACGATTACACACAATATATATATATATATATATATATATATATATATATATATATATATATATCAGATACAACAAATTTACCCATGTAACAATATGGGATCAAATGAGAGTGTAAAAAACTTTTATAGTATAAGTACATTTTAATTAAATTAAAATAAAAAAATACAAAAAAAAGTAAGGCAAAAAGCGCATGAAGCTATGTTTTTTGGTACATTATCAAACTATTTTTTAGAGAGTTATGTTAGGAAAAGCTACCTTGAATTTGAAGTGTTGAAGAGTTATTTTCCAAGTTGAATAGTAACTGAATTAAACATTTGCAGGGGAAGGAGTTAAGGTGGCTGTTTCTTCATTCAGAAAGGATGCTGTGGTAAATGAAGTGGATTACTGTGGATATGTAGAACTTAGACGTCCTATTTTCAAGAAAGATGATACATTTACAACTGGAGAATTTGATTTACTTACTCCTAGTGGTCAAACTGGTGTAAGCTATTTCCTTCCACATCCTTTGAGAAATGACACCAACCAAACTTCGCCATGATCACATACACGTGATTCTCACTTTTGGGTGGTGTTTGTTTCAAAGTTTGTAATTATATTTTGAGAATTAACATCAGTAGAATGTTTTCTATTAGGTAAGTTAGATTCATGTTTGGTTAGAGTTTAAGATGATAGGAATTTTCATATGGTAGAAGAAGGAATAAAAAATGAAAGTGAAAATAGATCTTACTGTTTCGAATACAATGATACGTCATACCTTCAATAGTTCCAAAGAAATTTAACATATCCACACGTTGATATGGAAATGAAAGGGAAGTAAAATATCAAGATACATTCTTCAAAAATCAACTGTCTATAAAAGATTTGAGGTTGGAGCAGTTTAAAATTTTAGCATGGGAATGTTTTAGTTCCAATGCAATGTTCTCAAGAATAATTTTACAAAACTTAGACACACTAGTCCAAAAAATCGATACGTTTGTAGGATTTAGAGAAATGACTTTTTTTTTTTTTTAATTATTGGTATCTACTTATCTCATTTGCAAGTAAGCAGCTAATATGATCTTTGAATTTGGAAGGCACTATTATATTAGTTCCAAGTTAAGAAATTATCAAATTAATTCCTAGAAAGTCAAATAAATCATTAAATTTAACTACTTGTTATCATTTTAATCCTTGAATATATATATATATATATATATCAATATTATCATTTTAATTACATATATCTTTTTTAATTTTAGATTAGTATAATTGTCAATTTATTCTTTCAAATTATTTTATAATTTTTTTAATTACAAAAATTAATATAACAACATTTTTCAAATTCAGGGATCAAAATGGCGTTTAATCTCACCTTATTAAGTATCATTGAATGACAGCTTGTGTGCATTGGTTAGGATAATTGTTTGTAATGTATTAACTTTTATGTAAAATTATTTATTAATGTTTATCTATAATTTTATGGGAAAACTATATTGACAAAAATCATGTTTTGATGTGAAAAAAGTGGAAATCAGTTTTCTATGTAATAAGGATAATTACATTGATTGCCCCTGAAGATAAGATAGCAATACTACACCTTTCTTGATTAAAAATTAACACTTACCTCCCTCCAAACTTCCACGTTTTGTTATATAAGTATATCGTGGGTATTTCCTTGAAAAAAAAAAAAAAAAGATATTGTACATATAAAGTGTAGGCATAATTAATGCTATCATAAAGAACACAAGAATACTTCTTGGCTGCATCAAAGTAATTGCTAAAGCCTTCATATGCAAGGTTCAATGCTGACCCAAATGCAAGAAACAATCTTCTTTTTGTTTATCATCAGTTAAGGAACTAGTCTAAGAATTTTAAGGCAGATACACCACATTACTATTTAAAAAAAAAAAAAAAAAACAGAGAGAACAGAACACACACACACAGAGATAAACCGATCTTTGCATCAAACATGAGTTATGTATTGCAGGAAGATATCACCTACTTAAACATTAACAAAACAATTGAAAAGTGTTTCATTTGACAAGTTAGAAGTTAAAAATATGATGCAGATAGTTATTCTCCATGTTAAGACTCACATCTCTCTTCTTCCTAGTGAGCTGATGTCATAAATATTCAATGACAATGGTAGTATTGAGTTGCTTGCTTCCTCGTAGCAACCAATTATTGTTCTTAAAATTGGAACATCGGTCTCGAGCACTTTCAGAATATTCATTTGCTATAGTTTCATGGTTTTTCATTTGTATAAAATTAAATGAGAGCAACAATTTAAATGAGTCCCAATATTAGAGTCCCATGGACAGTTCCAAAAGGATAGACGTGATTCTACTTTCTGTTGTTAATCTTTGAAACTGTTTCAAGATAAGAATATATCATGTGCAAATCAACTGGAAGAAATAATGGTACCACTGTTGAAACGGATGAGAAACAACATTTTCTCTTTTATAAAGAGGGAAAATTAGATTCCACTTCATGAAATAAAAGTGTTGACTGACTATATTCAATGAAAATTGATGACACAATGGATAGTTGCATGCCCCAAACCGGCAAGGTATTGTGCAACCTCAGGGCAAAAACTGAAAATCCATCGGTCGAATGTTTCTAACAAGCATATGATTGTTGAATTGCGCATAAACCTTCAACCCTTCCAACTACCATTTCATGAATGCTTATAATTGTTGCATCCACTAGGGAACCAAACCACCAAAAAACAGCATAAGACTTGACTGAGCCTTTTGTCATGAATCATCCATATTCATTCCTATCCAAATAAATATGCTATTTTATTTCATAGAAGACCTACAAGGTATTAAAAGCCCGTCAATGACGATAGAAGAAAACAAGAATTAATGTCATCCGGCAGAAAATATTTTGTTCTATCTAATAAAAGAAATCATGATGAAAAGAAGATAAATCTAGAAGTGGAGGTATATACTATTCTATCTATAGCTCATAAATCACTTCATTCTGACCAGGTTCAGATTGAGTTCTAGGCATGTTCAAATTATGTTACTAATCTCTTAGAATGTGTTTGGATGAGAAATTTAAATTGAGTAATTTATTTTTTAAAAGAATTTTAAATATCTTTAGGTAAAATGCCTTGTTTGGATGGATAATTTTCAAAGCATTTGAAATCCAAATATTTGTGAAATTTCTTAAAAAAGTGAAATTTCAAATTCTTCCAAAAAAGTAAGAATTTGAAATTCTTCATATTTTTTTTTCTTATCTCACTTATATATGTTTTTTATATTTCTTCTATCTCTTATATTTCTTTTTGCATCTCTCTCTTCCATCCCTCATATTCTACTTTTTCTCTCCCTTCTCTACTCTCTCTCTTTCTTTTTTTTCTCTCCCAAGTTCTTTTCTTAATTATGGCATATTCAAAAATATTAATAATTATTTTAATTATTGAATATTCAAAAATATTTTTGAATTATTAAATATTATCTAATATTAGTTTTTAAAACTATTAAATATTTAAAAATTGATAATATTTATTTTTATAAAATTTAATCTTAAAATCTCAATATATATATAATCAATTTTAACCATGGAGAAAATCAAATTACCATAACTAAACTAAAAATTTAAAATTTAAGAAATTTGAATTGACTTATCCAAACAAAACATTTAAAAAGTGATGAAAATTTAAATAAAAGTAATTCAAATTCCAAGAATTTCAAATTCCTTAAATTTCTAAAAATCCTTATCCAATTATATCATTAATGATTGTTGCATTTGCTCAATAAAAGCTACCAAATGCATTGAAACATTAACATAGTATTTAGTTGTAAGGGCAGGGAGGGGAGGGATTTTTAAAACTTTTTCTTGTTTGATTCAATTTTTAGGAGGAGAGGGGAGGGGAGCAAAACCTCCCCTCATCTAATTTTAGCCCCACTCCAAAATTGGAGGGATTTGGAAAGGAGCCCCTCTCCAATATTGGGGGGAATTGGAAAGGAGAGAAACATTTTTAGTATAATGTCCAATATATCGTTACTTCTGTTATTAAATTTAAAATAATAAGGATACAAAAGTATTTTGCTTTTAAAATCCCTACCCTTCCCTTCCCCTCCTCTCAACCAAACAGATGCTTCATTCCCTTCCTTCCTTCCTCTCAAAATTTGGAGGTGAGGGGTCTTCCCCTTCCTTCCCTCCCCTCCTTTCCTTTGAATGGAGCCTAAAGCAAATGCAAACTCTCCAGATCTCAGAAACAAGAAAAGCCCCAGTATTTTCATATCTCTAAGCAATTCATTTCCCCCACTCCACCCCTAAAATATAAAATAGCATTTGTTAAAGATAGTCTCCATCCCAACAGTTCACTCTTTATTTTTATTAAATTTTAAGGGTCTTGCTAACATGTCCAAACAGAACTGATCTAAAAGTACCTTTCATTAAATACTTCTAATTACTTGAAGAAGGAAATATAAAAAGCTGTCTGAGATTTCAAGATATTAAATGTTTTTACAGTTCATTTAGTCCTTTTTACTGTCATCCAGTAATTTTGTATCCTTAGAACCATTGTTTTTCTTCCTTTTGCAGCGGTAAACAATATTTTATAACTTATGCAGAAAGTGTATTTCATAATAAAGTTTGAAGATATATTTTCTTTATATGAACTAAAAACAGATGCTTACTTATCCTGTGTTCGTGGAGGTAACCCAAGTTTTGCTCTTAAATTTGCTCCTGCTTCCATGAGATCTTCCACCTATATGCAATAATATAAAGTACATGAAAAAGTCATCTCCTCATATAAATCATCTGAGACTGATCAAAGGCAGACATAATTTTTAATGAAAACCAACATGAAGGGAAGCAGATCCACAATCATGTGAAAAGAAAATAAATAGTTCTCTTGATATCTATAATAACATTTTCCACCAACCATCTTTGAAATAAGAAATGATAAATAGTAAAGTACAAAATGCATTGTCTAATGATAACATTTCCACTTGAACTTCTTTCATATCAATCACAACCATCTGTAGTATCACACGAAGAAAAAAAATATAGAAGAAATGTTCAATGTTGGACAAAGAACCAACTAATGAAGAACCTCAAATTTAGTTTATACTTGTTATAAGAAAAAGAAAGCTATTAATTGACCCAAGTTAACATAGTTGTAAAAGAGAATTGCAGAATTTAATTTAAAATAATGAGCTAAATGTTATGGCTAATGAAAGAAAAAAACAAGTTTACAACTTTTGTCATGCATCGAATGCACAACTTTGTCATGTGAATGATGAATCTTCCAGATTCAAGTTTTAGAAACATAACACCAACCAAACTGATGTATCAAGAAATCTCTGAAGATTGGTTCAGATCCAGGAAAGTATAAGTAAACTTCAGCGTTAAACAGAAGGTGACTGTTTCACTAATGACAAAATCCAGACAGTGGGTTTCCATAGACCCATAGATTTGGCCCAGTTGGTCTTTTCTCAATACCATTATGCAATTTATGTTATTCTATAAACTGCACGTGCGTTATAAATAAGCTTTATGCCAGTGTTGTTAATTAGCTGCTATAACACTATTGCGTTGCAGAAATCCTTGAATCTGCAATCATGACTCCGTCATCAATAGCAGCCACTACGGTGTCATGTTTGCAGCATGTATCTTACATCCTCTAGTCATCTCTGTCGAGTCTCTAACTAATTGAACTTTTTGAGTAAATTTTATGTCAATTTTTATGAATTTTTTTTTTATGTTTACATACAACTTATGTTTTTATACATACATAATTGATATATATTATATATTTTAACTGCTATGCAACTTCTGCTATTTGCCCAATATGCTATCCACTACATGATATAACAGATTATTGGCTTTCTGCCATTTTCAGCAATCCGCATTTGATAACACTGATTTATGCATTAAAAAGTATAAGCATTTAAGAGTCATGACTCATGGAGTAGCAAGCTCACCTTAAATACATTTGACACCTAACATCAACAGAATTCAATCCTTGATTTAAACTGCTTCAAATCATTTTTTGCATTTCAATAAAATTCACCAATAACTTTACATTCATTGGAAAAACATAATCCCGCTTTCAATAAAATTCACCAATAACTTTACATTCATTGGAAAAACATAATCCCGGTAAACATACTTAAAGCATCAGCCAAGTTGTAGCTTTATGTGTGAGTGAATATCCTTAACCCTACCTCTTAACATTTTGTCAGTACTCACCACACATTCCTAACATGTCTAATACATCCTCACAATACTTCCATATTAATAGTAAAACATAGAAAAACTAGCTTTGATTTCATGTTTATTATGTCACACAATAGTAAGTCAAGGAATGCTTTATCCAAAATACAAAGACAGCATATTGGTGCTTCATTCTCCCTTATCGAAGGGCCTAAGGAGTACAAAGAACAGTAATATATCTGAAATTATCATTCTATATAGTGTATAAATTCATTTAGAATTAACAACTAATTAGGAGTCTATTTGTTTAAACTTTTTTTTTTCCTATAAAAGCGCTTATTTTTAATAAAATAAGCCCTTTTTTTTTTACTTTTTGATGTGTTTGTCTAAACTTCTTTTTTTAAAATAAGCAATTTTCTGCTTTTTTTTAAGAAGCAACTCCTATATGCTTTTTAAAGAATTGCGTTTTTTAAAAAGAACTTGTTTAGAAATACTTCTTTGTAAGTTTAAACAAACAGACACTAGATCTCACGTGAAATTAGTCATAATGACAGCTCTGTTCACCTAAAATATTTCTGTTCATCATTCAACCACATCAACTCTGCACAAAAGATCAACAGCAGTTCAATTTGGCCTCAATTACTCAATTTGATACTAGAATACATTCAACTAAGCTAACGTAAACCATTTTATTCATTTTGAAGATTTTCATAAAAATCATATCATTTGTCAATAATTTTGCAACTAATGTTACTCAGGAGTCGAACAATCAATCAAGAGCTGACTGGAATGGATTATATTTATCATAACTAGACTACCATGGCAGAAGAACGCACTATTAGCATCTATTCACTGCTGCCAAGATATGAACAAACATTAATAAAAGGAAAATCACATGTCCTAGGAATTTTCAGTAGCTGAAAACTAGTTTTTCTCTTTGACCAGTGTGTAAACAATGTAACTAGTAATTTCTTCCAGTTCAACCTCAAATAACTAAAACGCAATAGTTCCTCCCAACTCTAACCATACAGTATACATGATTATCCTCTTTCAAGCTCAAATTCCCTTGGTAACTAGCATCACTGAAAAACAGAACTTCTTCTCACAAGAAACCAATGAGCTACATATAAACAAGCCAAAAACCCACTTCACAAATCACAATTCACTTCACAAGATTACCTAATCACACAAAACTAACCAACCCACCTTTTTTTCCTCACTAGGCATTTCTACAAGCGACAAACCCTCTATTGACCTTTTACTCAACATGAATTCCACTGCCTGATACAGAACTTTCAAGAACTTACATGACATTTCACATTGCTCAAACACCCTTGTCAACTTCTATTTTTTTGTCCTGGACATGGTCCACACAATGCCCGAAATCTGATAACTAAAGACTAATTTATGCTACAGCTTCCACACGAAACAAAACTTGGGAGCACCAATTCAACTCCCTAGTTAAATTGAATTACTTAGAAGCAGGCCTTCTTGCCACCACTAAAAACACCATTTCAGAATTCACTCTCCATAATCACCCAATCAATAACCCCATCCACTACATTCCCACTCCACAAGCAAAAAAACCCCTTTCATTCAATACAACTTCAGCTACACGAATACCCCTATCCCTTCACCCTAAAACAAAACTAAGTCACCCCTAAAGAGATCACAAACACAAAACATAAAGCGAGTGGTACCTTGTGGATGCCGTTAGCTTGTAGGATGAGGAGGGAGGCGGAGGCGGCGCTGCCGACGAAGAGGGAGGCGACGGCGAAGGCTTTGAGAGGCATGAAGCGAGAATCGCCTGCGTAGCCTTTGGCGAAGGAACGCATTCCCAATCCCATTTGAGCAGCGCTGGCCACACCCCACCACCATCTGATCCCACCGCCACCGTCGCCGCCGCATGCGGCGGGCTCCTCCGTCTCCATATTCTCTTCTGATTTTGGGTTTACTTTACTCAATCACCAGCGAGGGAAGGTCTCTCTCCGTTGGCAGCACCTCTTGGAATTTTTCACGGCTTCACCAAAGACTAATTAACTTATACCTTCTCTCTTCATATTTTTTTTTATTTAATTTGGTTTTTTTTCTTCAAATGTTTTAATTTAATTTTCTAATTTTAAAAAAATGCATGTGTCTTTCATTTCATAATGAAATTAGATAGATGGATAACATTAAGTTTTTTTTTTAAAAAAAAATAAATGATTAAACTTAAACATTTAAAATTAGTAACATTAAATTGAATATTAAAAAATAAAAAAGATTAAAATTATAAAACTATTAAGTTAGTCTTTAAAATGTGAAATAAGTTCTTAAATTTAAATATTTACTCATTTAAATCATTGAATATATATTTATATTATTACTTTAATCACATTTTTTTTTAATTTTTAATTAATGTAATTGTAAATTTGTAATTTTAGAAACTAATTTTATAATACTTTTAGTTTTAGGAACTGATATGATATTGTCTTGCAAATTCAAGGACTAGTTATTTTTTCATGTCAGGTCTTTTAATAATTAGATATGATGTAAAATACCATTTTAGTATTTTAAACTCCAACACAAGCATTTTGGTCCATGTAACTATTAAAATACAAAAAAGATTGTAAAAGTGTAAAACGTTATTGATGTTAGTCCATCCATGTGTTTACCATTATTAAAGTTAACGCTTGTACCAATATAACAACTGACTTTACACATGTGGGTGACTCACACTTGACATGCATTAAGATCCAAAAATTTTAAATAATAAAGATAATATTTATTTATATATTTATAATATTAAAAATTTTATATATAATTTTTAAAAATATAAAAATTATTAAATTGATCAACATTTGATAATTAAAAGACATGATTATCATTAAAAAGAATATTGCATAATACTATAACTATATTGTTTTATATGAAAAAATTAACTAACACTTGTTAGGATCTTTAATAAAGAGTCCTAAAAAATACTTAAAAAAGAAAAATAGGAAACTGATTTATTATGATTCTATTTTCAATTTTAAAAAATTGATAAGAAAAAGGTAATTGTACTTATAGATGCATCTAACCATTTAAGTCGTGTCGAAGTTAGATAAAAACAACAAACGAAAAACACTATAAAATTGTGTTTGTCCATTATATATAGAAGAAAAATTTGTCTCAGGTTTATATATATATATATATATATATATATAATGTTCATTAAAGGTAATTAAAAAAAATCTAAAAATAAAAATGATTTTTTTAAAAAAAAATACAATCTACATCGATTTTCCTAAGAATTGATGTAAATTTATGTATAATATACATCAGTTTTAAAATCGATGTAAAAATATATATATCTTCCTAGTCGCTCTATTCTATATTAATTTTAGAGCTAATATAAATGATTTCACAAAATCGTTGTAAATAATGTATCATGTAATAGTGACAATATCATCCTTTTTTTGTGTACATTTTACAGTGAATACACATAAATATCAACTATACACACATTAACCAACATTTAAACAAGAATCAAGTAACTTTTGGGTTTAACTCTCCAAAACCCCAACTTCTCACCTTCTACAACTATCAATAAAATCAATATTCAAGTCATCATTGGATGAATTCGATAACATAAATTAACTTAAAGAATCATTAAAAAAAAAAAAAAAAAAA